ATATATATATATGAATCAGGAACGCACTTATACAAAGCTAAAGTATAAGTTATAAATTTCAGCAGGTAACACAATGATAAATTTATTCAAAAAATAGTGTAATAATTACTACTGTAATAATAAGATGTCGAATGGCAAAAAGAAAGATAAGCGTAAATTTGTTAGAAAAAATTTATCAAGATCGAGAAAATTAGGAGGAAAAAATCCGAATTCGAATTAAAATAAGCAGAACTTTTAGGAATTCCACGTGGCTTATGTGTACGTGCGTATGGGCAATTCACCTCGGCCAGGACTTTGGATCCTGGAGAAATCAAAGGACTACGGCAAGACCTGGTCACCTTGGCAATATTTCTCAGATTCCGCCAGCGACTGTCTGACATATTTCGGGGTAGACAGTCACAAGCCGATTATTCGAGATGACAGCGTAATTTGTACAACTGAGTATTCGCAAGTTGTCCCGCTTGAGGGTGGCGAAATTCCGATCTCGATTCTAAATAATCGGCCCTCAGCGAAGCACTATTTCAATTCGACTTTGTTGCAAGAATGGACACGAGCAACCAATGTTCGTTTCCGTTTTCTCAGAACAAAGAATTTGTTGGGTCATTTGATGTCTGTTGTTCGTCAAGATCCTACCGTTACCAGAAGAGTAAGTGGCACGTCCTATCTTTAGTTCCTTGATATTATATTTGACTTTATATTTTACTTTATAATAAATAATTAATATTCATATTTCTGTCGTTGAAATAAATATTTTTGCTTAGCGACGCAAAAGAATCTATGACAATTTTATGACAATTCTAAAATATTTTTATAATGATACTTCTTATTGCGATAGTTTTGTAATAGTGTGATTTTTAAAGAAGCTTATTTGTGTTGCAGTATTTTTATTCGATCAAAGATATCAGCATCGGTGGTCGCTGCATGTGCAATGGTCACGCGGACATCTGTGACATTCAGGATCCCAATATGCCAAAGAAATTAGTCTGTCGATGCCAGCATAACACCTGCGGACCTCAGTGTGCAACATGTTGCAAAGGTTTCGAACAGAAAAAATGGAGACAGTCTACAGCATCAAAGAAATTCATATGCGAACGTAAAAATAATTTATTTTGATAAAAAAGTGCATTTACAAAGAGGTAAAATGTCTTGTTTGGCAACAAATGTACATTTGCAGCTTGCAACTGTTTTGGACATTCGGACGAGTGTATTTACAATCCGGAAATTGACGAGAAGCATTTATCATTGGATATCCATGATAATTACGAAGGCGGTGGTGTATGTCAAAACTGCAAACACAACACTGAAGGTATCAATTGCAATCGTTGCAAGCCCAGATTTTACAGACCGAGAGACAAACCACTCAACGCAACTGACGTATGTCAACGTAAGTCCATTTAAGATTTAAATCAATCTCGGTATTTTATTAACGTTATAAACTTTACAATTTGAACTTTCAATGTATTTAACTAGCCTGCAACTGCGATTACTTTTACTCAACTGGAAACTGTGCCGATTCCTCTGGAAAATGCGAATGCCGGAAGGAGTTTACACCACCGAACTGTGATACTTGCAATTATGGTTACTATGGCTATCCTAATTGTTTACCCTGCCAATGTGAATTACGGGGCACTGACGGTTATCATTGTGAAGCAACAGATGGTTATTGTCCCTGCAAGTTAAATTATGCCGGTCACTATTGCAATCTCTGTGCTGAGGGATATTACAATTTCCCCGATTGTTTACGTGAGTAAATCTGGAAAATTTTTTCAAAGTCTTCAAATTATTTAGATAATAATATTGAGCATTATATAATCTCAGCCTGCAATTGCAATCCTCTGGGCGCCTTGAATGATATCTGCGATGTGATATCCGGCAACTGCACATGCAAAAACAACTACGGAGGTAGAACATGTGATATTTGCGAGGACGGATACTTTAATTATCCTCTTTGTACATGTACGTCACAATATCGACTAGTTTGTTTTCAATAGATATTTAAAAAAACATAATCAAAAATTTAAATTTCTTTTTTTTTATAATTCTTAAGCATGAATTTTTATTCTTACAGATTGTAACTGTGATGCACGTGGAACAGAATCCGGTATTTGTGATAAGATGGATGGTACTTGTTTGTGCAAGGAAGGATATGGTGGTGTTAGATGCGACCAGTGTATTCTCGGATATTATGGTTATCCTAATTGTAGACCTTGCAACTGCAGCTCTGTTGGTTCATCTAGCATCAGTTGTGATTCCGCGGGCAAATGCTCATGCCTCGCTAATTTCGCTGGAAGAACTTGCAATCAATGCAGTCCAGGATATTATAAATACCCGGAATGCATTGGTACGTCAGTTACACCAAAATTCTCGTTTAAACATTATCTTAAACGAATCTTCATATAATATATTGTTACTTTTGACTATTTTTATAATCTGAACATCATGTTATTAACGTTTATTAATTAAATTAATCAGTTGTATTTTTATCAATTAAATGTCTTAATTTTTTAATCTTAGCATGCAATTGTGATAGTCACGGCTCGATTGGCGTATCATGCGACAGCGAAGGTAAATGCCAATGTCGCGAGAATTTTGACGGCATTCGATGCGAGCAATGCAAAGAAGGATATTACAACTTTCCTACCTGCGAGGGTTGCAATTGCGACCCAGCTGGCATAGTTGCGACTTTCCAAGGTTGCGGTTCCTTACCGCCTGGTGAACTTTGTCAGTGTAAAGAACGTGTCGAGGGAAGGATATGCAATCATTGTAAACCACTTTATTGGAATCTGCAGCCTTACAATCCGGATGGTTGCGAAGGTTTCGATTTGTTCTTTTAGAATATATATTTATGAAATAATAATTACCTATAATAATTACGTCTTGTAATCATGAAAAGAATAGTTATATTCGATGCAAGTTCAAAATATATGTATATTATATAATTATGTAATATGTTTTTTTAAAAAGCATGCGCATATTTGTATTTAAGAATGCCAATGTAATATTCCTGGGGTCATCGGCGGTATTGGCGAGTGCGATACTAAAACTGGGCAATGCATCTGCAAACCTGGTGTGACTGACAGAGGATGCACTAGATGCATCGACGGAACGTATAACCTTCAAGAAAGTAATCTCTTTGGTTGTTCAGGTAAGTCAATTTTTTCGTTTCGTAATATTTAACTTGTAACATGATGTATTTGTCTGTTAAGATTGCGCTTGTGACGTTGGCGGTTCTGTGAATCCAATATGCGACAAGCAAACTGGTCAATGTCCTTGTCAACCAAGAGTAACCGGTTTAACGTGTAAGGAGCCTTTAAAAGCGCACTATTTCCCTACCCTTCATCAATATCAATATGAGGCCGAGGTGGGCAAGACTCCCAGCGGTAGTAGCGTTCGTTATGGTTTCACAGAAGATCTCTTCCCAGATTTCAGTTGGAAGGGTTATGCCGTATTTTCTGCTCTACAAGATGAGATTGTGCTAGGTGTAGGTATCGGCAAATCTTCGCTCTATCGGATGGTTTTACATTATGTAAATCCTAATAACGAGCCGATCCTTGGCACTATCACTATTACTCCTGACAGTCCATCAGAGGTAGAGCAAAAGTTTAAAGTCAATTTTAAGCCGACCAATCGACCATCTTTCGTAACAGTTGCCGGAGCACATGGCAACCATCCATCGCCCATGGTTATGAACCCGGGACACTGGTCCATCAAGATCGCCACAAAGAAGAGTCTGTTTCTCGATTACTTCGTTTTACTACCATCGGAATATTACGAAGGCGGTATACTGACGCAAGATGTGAATGTACCATGCGAAGTCGGTTACAAGGGACTTTGTAGACATTATGGATATCCAAACCTGGCACGATTCGATTCGGTTCACGGTGCTGGCGGCTTTCTCAGCGAGAACAACGTCCGAATCCCATTGACTGAATATTTCACCGATTACGAGACTCTGCAAGAGATAGGTGAAGACGAAGTACCGCTCATCAACGATAAGCAAGAAGAAATTCATTTTGAATTGAGAATTAGCAAACCTGGTCCTCACGTTCTTGTAGTGACTTATGTTACTTCGCGAGATGAGCGAGATACGTCCGTGTTGCTAATCGAGGCAAACACTGTTGGCAAAGGCAAAGTAACCCTGAATCCCTGTAGATTTACCAGCACTTGCCGACAAGTTGTCACTGATACTTATGGCAAAGTGGCTGTTATGAATTTCTCATCGAATTACGTTAGCTTGGTATTGACCGGCGAACCGACTTCAAATGTCGCGATTGATTCGATAGTGGCAATCCCTTATCATCAGTGGTCACTGGACTATGTCAAGCCCAAATCTATTTGTGTAAGAAAAAATGGCAAATGCATACAAGGGCTATTTCCTGGTGCTGCTGATGCCAAAAAAATCGAGTTTGAGACTTCCAGTGGTATTCCCGAAACTGAAAATCGACCTCTCGGTATTTACGATAACGCCACTAAATTGATCTATCTAGGTGATGGTGACACGGTGGACATTCACGCAAAAGTATCTCAACCAGGAGATTATGTCTTCGTGATACAATATTATCAACCGGATCATCCTCAATTTGAGCTAGATGTTTTGGTACAGAATGGCAAATTTTACGAAGCGAAGATGCCGGTTCCTCATTGTCCGAGTAACAGCGGCTGTCGCAGTATCATACGTCAAATCGATGACAGTGACATCAGATTTCAATTAATCGAAAACTTCATGCTGACGTTAAAAGAACCTGGTGGTGGTCGCGGTATCTGGCTAGATTATATTTTGGTGATCCCAGCAGATCAATACAATGAAAAAATTCTTGATAAACTGCAGTTCGATCAGACCAAAGAATTTATCAGGCGCTGCGGTAGCAATCATTTTCATATCAATGTCACTGAGGACGGTTTTTGTCGTAATTCCAGCTTTTCTTTAACGGCCAACTATAACAATGGTGCACTGCCCTGTAATTGCGACAGTGAGGGCTCTACAAGCTTTGAATGCGATAAATTTGGCGGTCAATGTCCTTGTCGACCAAACATCATCGGTAGACGATGCGAGATATGCAAGACTGGCTTTTACGGTTTTCCCAGATGCAAACCATGTAATTGTCCCGCTCTCTGCGAACAAGAAAGCGGTAGATGCATATGTCCGCCCCGGGTGACGGGTCAACAATGTGACCAGTGCGAACCTGGTACCTATGGATTTCATTCGATCATTGGCTGCGAGGAGTGCGACTGTTCGCCTTTAGGCGTCTTGGACGGTGATCTACAATGCGATCTGTTTGACGGTACTTGTCGTTGCAAGGAGAACGTGGTAGGCCGTAAATGTGATCGTTGCCGCGCTGGTTATTCGCAGTTCCCACATTGCGAGCGCTGCGATTGCGATTCACGCGGTACAACTGGTGACATTTGCGATCAGTATACAGCCGAGTGTTTCTGTAAGGCAAACGTGCAGGGTTTGGCATGTGATGTATGCCGCGAAGGTACTTTCGATATTCAGGCTGAAAATGCGGATGGTTGTACCAAATGCTTCTGCTTTGGCAAGACCACCAGGTACGTTCTACATTTATTGAATTAATATTCGCATATGTTCTACATTTATCGCATTAATATGTTCTAATTTAAAAAAAAAATCTATAACATTTATTCATTAGATGCGCCTCCGCGAATCTTTACTGGACCCATCTCATGGATATGGCCGATTGGGAATTAGTTATATCCATCGATAAAAACGGCAATTTTACCAATCTATCAACCTATCCTGTAAACAACGCAACTGCAATTACGGTTTCACTCATCACTAATGACACGTTCGAGAACGTCGTCTACTTTTCAACGCCTAATATCTATCTCAATAAAAAGCTGACCTCTTACGGTGGTTACCTCAATTATACCGTTTACTATAGTACAGGACCCTTTGGCAAGGCTGTTAGCGCTGCCGATGTGATCCTTCAAGGTGCCGATACGACGTTATTCTATTATTCTGATGAGCAGCCACCATCTTTCGTAAACTTTAAAGCATCTGTTCAGCTTGTTGAAGCTAATTTTGTGACTAGCAACAGACTCCCCGCTACCAGAGAACAGATTATGGTAATTCTCGAAGATCTACGTGGTATATATATACGTGCTACGTACTGGAATCCCAGTCTTATGGCTATGTACGCACCCACACAATTTTATAGTCGAAATATCGAATGATTATTATTATATTTTTTACGATAAATATGTTTATAGATTATCGTACGTGACATTGGATGTTACAACGGAGCAATATTCAGCTCAATACAATGCCGCTGCTAGCAGTGTGGAACAATGTCAGTGTCCACCAAATTATCAAGGATTTTCATGCGAGGAATGCGCGCCAGGATATTACAGAATCAAATCAGGACCATATGGAGGCTATTGCGCGCCCTGTCAATGCAATGGTCATGCGGCAACATGCGATGTAAACACCGGAATCTGTCAGGTGAATTATGGAGACTCTTTGAAATAAATATACTTGAGATGAATATTTTTTTCAATCTGTGTGTAATTCTTTTGATACGCTTTATAGAATTGCAAAGATGGTACCATTGGCGACCATTGCGAGTTCTGCGAGCAAGGTTATTATGGTAATGCCACTGTGGGCACACCGACAGATTGTCTGATCTGTGCTTGTCCGTTGCCAATCGCCTCTAATAACTTTGCTACTGACTGCGAAGTGAATGAGGAGGGTAATAAGATCAGCTGCGATTGTCTACCTGGATATTATGGTGCCCGTTGCGAGGCCTGCGCCGCTGGATATTATGGTAATCCCGAAATATATGGCGATTATTGTAAGTCGTGCGAGTGCTCTGGGAATATCGATACCAATCAAATCGGCTCATGTGACAGTATCACTGGCCAATGCTTGCAATGTTTGAATAATACCTATGGCGAGGCGTGTAATTTGTGCGCGCCGGGCTATTTCGGCGATGCTGTAGAGCGGAAGGATTGTCGTAGCTGCGTGTGCGACGAGTGTGGAATGAAACACTGCGACAGCTACAATGGTCAATGTTTCTGCCAAGAGAACGTGATCGGCGAGCGATGCGATCATTGCGCGCCTCATCATTATGGCTTCAACAGTTGCGAGGGTTGCAAGCCATGTGATTGTGGCTTGGCCTCGGAGAGTAGTCAGTGCGATGAGGAAACGGGACAATGCAGATGTATGCCAGGCGTTACTGGTCGTCGGTGTGATCAATGTATTCAAGGATATTGGAATTACGGATTGTATGGATGTACATCATGTGAATGTCATACTGGATATTCCGTTGGTGTATCTTGCAATACAACTACTGGTCAGTGTACTTGTTTACCCGGAGTAATTGGTGAAAAATGCGATCATTGTCCGTATCGGCACGTGCTCATCCCGGCACAAGGCTGTTTCTCCTGTGGTTCTTGCACGGGAGATCTTTTAGATGTCACGGATGAACTAGACGATTTATTGAAGCCTGTCTCGCGCGAGTATAGTTCGGTTGCAGAAGGATATTTTACGAATCAGAGACTCAAATTTATCAACGACACAGCCAATGAACTCTATCCTGAAGTTAAATTGTTGGATCCAAATCGAGTGAATCTATTGCCATTGCAGGAGAAACTAGAAAGATTGGAACATGAGATATACAATCAAAAACGACAGATCGATTTCACCGCTGAGGATAGTGTCAAATGGAAAGATGAAGCAGAGAATACATTGCAAGATATGAATATTTTGGAAGAAGACGTAGTGCAAAAAATCAATTTGGTGAATCAAATTGTATCGGAGGTGCAGTCATTGGCATTAAACATTGAATTGGGAACAGGCACTAAGATCGATAATGCACTGAACGAAGCGAAGGACATTCTGAAAAGGATTAAAGATGTCTCCTTTATCAAATTTCGAGACAACGCTGTAGATCAAGCAGATCAAGCCAATATTCTGATCTCCGAAATGCAAGAGTACAATTTCCCGGCTAGCAACTTAAGTTTTGCCGTGGCTGATCTCAGCAACAAGATGAAAAATGTTAGTGTCAAAATGGATGATCTATTGGACATTGCAGAGATAGCTGAAGAATTTGCCAGCACGGCGGATAAATTGAATAGAGAGAATAGATTCGCTGCACAGACTGGTAATCTCGACATTGTGAAGAATTCTACCGCTGAAGCAAAAGAGGATTTGGAAACTGGAGAGCAGCTTAAGAATAATGCCAGCGATTTCCTTTTTCAAGCAAAGAGTAACATCGATCTTTTACAAACCGACACTGTTAGCGACGTGACCGCTCGATTGAACAATAGTATTACTGTGAATGACGAGATGTTAATCGATCTAGCTGAACCAATACAGAAAGCTCATACTCATGCGGCATACTTATACAATCGTTCATTGGAATTAGATAACTTATTAACTGACACGCGCAATACTAACGCGGTGAGAGCCGTTTCAGCTTATAGAGATATTGAAACTGCAATCCAAGCTGCAAAAGATGCTGCTGACAATGCCATAATTGCCGCTAATAATGCGACATCACTGACTGATGGAATTGAACAGAAGATGCTACACTCTCGAAATGAGTGTTTCAAATTGTTAGCCGCTGCACAGCTCGCTTTAACGAAAACGACAGGACAGCCTGAGAACGATTTGCGAGATGCGAGAAACAACGCAACTGTGATCGATAACCAAAATAAACGTAATAAAGAACTTCTCGATTCTATCGAGAAAACTCTCGGCAATATTCCTTCGCAATCCTCTTCGGTTGCATATGACGCTATGAATCAGGCAGTGAACGTTGAGCGTAACATCAAAATTGCTATCGATGACATGAATGGTACTGTGAATCGGATTCCAGAAGATCTGCGGGAAACCAAGCAGCTCTCGAAGAATACATCAGAATCGATCCGTGATATCTCACAAGCGAACAAGCAATTGGATATCGTAGACAAAGTGATGCCAAACATTACTAATCTGTTAAACAGCCTGAATGGCAATCAGAGATCGATCGACGATATCGGGAACGGCTTACAAAATAAAATCGAGGCCTTAAGAAATAAGATTGCGAATGCCCGGGAATTAGCCAATCGTTTCAAAACTGGCTTGACTTTCTATAGGAATACCACCTTAGAGCTAAAGAATCCAGAGAGTCTGCCATTGCTAACTACTTCCACTAAGATATCCTTATATTTCAGAACTAACAAAACTAACGGTTTCTTATTATACCTCGGCAATGAAGAAAAGACGAAACTATCACGCTCAAAGATGCATGATTTTATGGCGTTAATGATTGAAAGCGGATATCCCGTGCTTATAGTCGATTTAGGATCCGGACCTGAAAGGATAATTCACACCAAGTTCGTATCAGATAACGTATGGCGGCAGATAATTATCGACAGAACCGGCAAGAACGTCAAGTTAATTGTTCGCGAAGACATTGGCGAGGGCAAGGACGTATTGTACGAGAAGGAACGAGTCTTGGCAGGTTCTTATTACATTTTTAATGTAGATCAAGAACACTCGAAGCTTTTTGTCGGTGGTTATCCGTCATCTTTCCGTATCCAAGACGCCGTGACCGCATCTTCCTTTGAGGGCGAGATGGAAGAGTTAATGATAGGCGATATACCGGTATCTTTTTGGAATTTTGTCGACGGTGAGAACAATCAAAAGAGTGCGCTCGAACGCGATAAACTTATTAATTTTGCGCCGAGCAGAGGATATCGTTTTGATCGACATGGTTATGCGATCCTTAGTAAGAAAAGCTCGCAAATCACGCCAGATACTAGAAAATTCATCATCAAACTATCTTTCAAGACTTTCGCGGAAGATGGATTGATCTATCTGATGGGCAAGGGCAGACAGTTCTTGTCTTTAGAAATGAAAAATAGTCAATTGTTGTATCAGTACGATCTTGGCGAAGGTACGATTGTCTTGAAATCTCCGGATAAATATAATGACGGCAATTGGCATACTTTAGAGGCTATCAGACAGGACACGATGGGTGCGCTCAAGATCGATGATCACACAGTCGCGTCGAGACAAGAGAAAGGAACCACCAAACCTTTGGCTACCTCGGATCACATTTATTTCGGTGGCTATCCTCCCAATGCGAAACATCACTATGAATCGGTTACCAATAATGGCTTTGAAGGTTGCATCGACGACGTCGTCATTCTGGATACTTCGGTTGATCTTACGCGTAACGTGCAAGCATTTGGAGTCATGCCTGGTTGTCCAGTTAGGGTAATTAACGAAATTTAGATTTCTTGTGCTTATAAGATAATAAATGTTTCTATTCAAAAAACTTTTCAGATTATTGGATTTGGATTTTCATTTTATTGTTAATTCTTGGAATTATTTCTTTCAGTTTGCCAGTCTCGTCTCTTTCGAACAAAATACACCCGGCTATGTGAGATGGCGTAACTTAGTATCCGACGGTCTACAAGTGAATCTTAAGTTTAAGACGTTAGCTAACGATGGTCTGATTTTCTATGCAACTAATAATGATCAGCAAGATGTAGCTACTAGTTATTTGTCGCTGGTAGATGGCCAATTGGTATTCAGAAGCCAAGGCGAAGAACTTAGAACCAGTTCATCGGATGCAAGGTTCAACGATAATGAATGGCACGTAGTGACCGCCACTCATGATTACTTAGCTCTTAGTCTTGATATCGATGACATGAAAAGTTACAAAACCGATTCGGCACCGCCGCCGCTGCACTTCCTCTATGGCAACTTGTATATCGGTGGACTACCCTTGAACTTAGATCCGGATGGTAAAACCGTACATTTCGTTGGTTGCATTGGTGATGCGACTCTTAACAGCGAAATCATCATCAATTTCGCCAACACGACCGAGAGGCCACATGCATATTTGGGAAAATGCAAGGGCAGTGATCAAACACGTACGTTGCGATATTGTCTGATAGAATTATTGTAACTATATTTCTTAACTATATTAAATCGTTTTATCTTTTTTTTTTTAATATAGTCCTACCAGTAGTTGAACCTGAATTTTCACCACCATTACTACCATCGGAAGGTTCGGAAGATACAATAGAGTCATCGACTCAAATCAGTAAGCGAAACAAAGTAGCTGTAATAATAAATGAAATCTTTATTTTAATATATATATATATATATATATATAAATAAGTATTATATATATATATATATATATATATATATATATAATAAATATATATATAAATAAATAGTATTGTCATTAGGACAGAAACAAATGATTTCTTTTTAGACATAATAGAAGTCGAGATAGAAAAAGAGGATGGAAAAGATGAAGAACCAGAATTGGAAGGACGAATTAACAAGGAGAAATACGATTTCACATCGACTACCACGTTAAGGCCAACCGAACAGCCTCAAACCATTAATCAATGTCACTTACCATACTTCCCAGCAATTGATCCTGATCTTGAAAATGCTTGGCGATTTGGTACATTCACCATTTTTAAATAAATGGGAAACGTTCAAATAAAAATATTTAACATTTACTACGACACTAATTTATGTCGACAAAATTTTTCAAATGATGAAATAATAATCCTTTTTAGGTACTGCAAGAAATAGTAGATTAGAATACAGAACACTTAATGGAAGATACAAAGATGATTATGATTTCCAAATTGACATAAAAACAATGGAGGACGATGGAATTATATTTTACGCTTCTGATCTCAATAAGCAAGATTTAATCGCTGTCTACATGCTTGGAGGAAAGGTAAAGAAGCAAATTTTTACATTTATACCTACGTAGAAAAGTTAGTATCATCTTAAGAAAAACATCTTAAGAAAAATTATTCTTTAAGATTCACTACAAATTCGATTGCGGAAGTGGACCAGCATTGATAGTAAGCGATAAAATGATCAACAATAATCAATGGCATATCATCATTTTTAAGAGAGTAGGTAACTACGGTCAGCTAATCGTAGATGAGGAAGATGCGCTGACTGGATATTCACTGGGGCATACCACTACTGTCAGCATCACTCCGCCATTTTTCGTAGGTGGCGTCTTGCCGGAAATGTCTAACATCGCATATACGAATATTGTAAGATTGCCTGATATTTAATATCTTACAAATTTAGGATTGCGAGGATGTGATAATTTTTCTTATTTTAGGATCTTAATAAAACATTCAGCGGCTGTCTAGGAAATTTCATGATGAACGGTCAATCCGTCGGAGAACCATCGGAAAAAATAGGCGTAATACCTTGCTCGAAGAGAGTTGAACCCGGTCTCTTCTTCTTCCCAGGAAATGGCAGTAATTTATTCAAAGCAGGTGAAAAAGTTAATACAAATCCACATTAAGTTGAATAAAAAAATATTTTAATAATATCGCTTTAAATCGGCAAGTACAATTGATTAAAAATTATCAAAATATTTTATTAATTTTCAGCCGATCGATTTAATGTGGATCGTATGATCGATATTCAAATGGACATAAAACCACGATCAACATCCGGACATTTACTATCGGTGCATGGTAAAAGGGATTACCTTGTGCTAGAAATGGTCAATGGTACTATAAAATTCCTCATAAAAACGCAGAAAGGATCTATTGAAACCGCGTTTGAGCCAACAAAACCAAATTCCTTGTGTGATGGTCACTGGCACAATATTCGAGGTAGATAGCATCAAATCGATAAGAGATTTTAAATACTTTTGAAAATTTTTATTTATTATTTTGAAATCTCTCTCTCTCTCTCTCTATCTCTCTCTATCTCTATCTCTCGATTTACGTAAGCTAATATAAGGCACTAACGATTGATATCCTTTTGCTTCTATTATTTCTTTTTTTAAATAGCTGTCAAACAGAAGAACGCGGTATTGCTCTCGGTTGATCATAAACCGGCGCCGCCTGGAATTGGCAGCAAAAACGTAGCCAGAGTCTTTTCAAAACATCCAATATTCATCGGCGGCCATCCGATGTTGGGAAGAATACGAGGAAGTACCTCACGGACTCAATATGTCGGTTGCATCACCAACATAATGATCAACATGAATTCCATTAGTATTAGGCCCGAACGAGCCTATGGACAAGTTTTAACAGGTGTATGCCCAACCATTTAAAATGATGAAAGAAATCTAACATAAATGACATAAATTTATAGTTTTAGTTAAATTTTTTCGAACTCTTTTCTTTACAAAATATTTTTTATTAATTTCTGATGTTTAATTAAAAAATAGAGATAAAAAGTAGTAAATCACAACTTATACATCAAACTTACACATCCTTTAATAATTCCGGAGAAATCATTTTCTCGATTAGAAATTATGAAAAATTATCTGTACAGAATAAGGAAATTCGTTTGTAACCAAAGATATGATTTATACGTAATAAAAAATGTAAATTATATAAAATATGTGTAGGCATACGGGAAGTTGGTTTTAATGTAATAATGCAAGTCATTAAAAATGAAATAAGAATTTTTGTAAAAGTCATGAGTGTTTTATTTTGTGAATATATATGTAATATTTGTGCGTTATCGCATTCGGCACATTTTGTAAATAAATCCAAATTCCTATACAATAAGTTCTCAAAAGTTTATTCTCATGGATTTTAAATGTTTTGGCTCAGTCTTGGTATCGTTAATGTTACGAAAATCATCATTTTAACGTAACGCTTTTGTCGAGACACGACGTCGTACCACTATAATGAGTGTAATTTAAATGATTTACGATTATTAATATAATATTCAAAAAATTTCGACGAAAGTGCAAAGATACATTTACAAATTTATTAATAAATTAATAAATGTATTAATTTATTAAACCAGTAATGTACTGGTAATGTACTGTCAATCATAACGAATAATGTGTGATCATTATGCTAGAATTTTAAAACGTTAAATTATCCTAAAAATGCAATCGTGAAAATTATGTACAAATGAAAATTTTACGTAAACTTAATAACAAAATAAATTATTTTCCCAGAAACAATGAATAATAAAATGCCACAGAAGTTGTATGAGTCAGATATATGCACGAATCTTTCCTACAATTTTGAGGAAAGCATTTATTGCAAATATAAAATTTTTAATGGAATTTTGATAGAATCATTAATCATAAATTTAGTATTCGAGATTTATTATCTCAAGAAAATGAAAAATCATGCAGCGTTATTTAAATCAGAATTCACAGCCATAGAAACAGTTTCTGCGATTTAATTTCATTCAATTTCAGTTGTATATTATTGATATGCTGCATTTGTCAATTTAAATTATACACATAATTTAAGTTCGTTTATTGCGTGTAACTCGAGACATGATTCGCGAAATTTAATTAGAGAAAAAAAAAAAAAATATAAGGTATTAAATCACTTATAATATGTAAAATCTATGTTTTATTACAATTATTATATACTATATATATGTATATATATATAAAATCAGCCTGTTCATCGAATTGTCTTACTACAATCTCTAGATGTATAATATTACTTAAAACTCGGCGTTTATCAGACAACACAGTTTATCAATCAAAAAAAAGATACAAAAGACAGTTAATACAATTCTCTCGCATTCAGGCGATAATTCGCGTACTTGCACCTGATCTTTTTTTTTCGAAGACTTACTGGAAGTAATTGGAAGTAATTAAAAGTGTGCAAATCAAACATTTGCGAAATCGAATCGAATTTTCGGAAACAAGTTTGAAATCGAATCAAATTTTCTCGAACTTACATTAAAAATGATTACGCTATCCAAATTTTTACAGCAGATTTGAAAAGAGCTGTGAAAAGGACCCGTTAATTATTTGTTAATGCATTTATTGATTGTATTTAATGCATGTTAAATGAATGCTTAGACGAATAATAAAATAAGTAACTTTTACACACACGCACGCACGCGCATGCATGTAGGCACATATACCACACACGTACATACATAGTCAATATTTGATTTGATATAGCATTAAGTATATTATTTTTTTAAATGTATATAATTCTAAAAATATTTATGATAGTAAATTTATATTTTTAATTAGATCAAGAAAGAGCTCATAGCATTTCTTTTAATGTTCAATAATAATATTTCCGGTATGCATAGTAAGGTAACAAAATACAAACTTGGTCGCGCGGAAGATATTATAAATGAAATAATCAAAATATGCCATTGATTCGAAATCAAATCATTAATTCCAAATTCTCGAATTATTCCAATTTTGAATCTTTCAAATTCAAAAACAAATCGAATTCATTATTCGATTTGATTCGAATTCGAACTGTTCGCACACTTCTAAAAACAATGCAAAATATATTGATTGAACACAAAAGTTTTCCCGAGAGAACAAATTTCAATAGCTCTCCTATGTTTTGTGGCATTGCGTTATACTGTAAAAATAGATCGATTACCGTCGAAAAAAATTATCAATGATCTGTTGGTCCTGTACGTATCAATACATCATTGCAAGATGAGAAGCTGTGCAAAAAAAAATTTAACATTACGCGATTGCGAATCATAAATCAGTGCTGTGTGATAAAAACTAACTCGTTGTTACAATATTTAATTTATGTATAGGATGTTCCATCGCTATCAGACAATATTTTAATGACATGCCTTTTGTTAAAGATTGAATTCAATCTTTTTTTAAGGAAATGATGGAACACCCTAACAAAGTGATACGACGAGGAAGCAAAACGTGTCATCAACTCAGAGCAACCAAAGCTATCTGTGGCATATTCAACAAAAGAACAATTAGCAACAATCTTTAATAAATGCTCAAAATTTATATAGTATAGACAGAAGATAATAATGATTAACTTGTTTACGATGTCTAATTTGGGAGAAATTTTTGAGAAGAGAAAGAAGTTAAGAAACTATCTAGATAAGAATGGCAGGAGAAAAAATTATCAGGCAGAAAAATGTAATTTCTGACAGGACATCAAATACTTAAAAACGAATCACACTGTGGCGAATCTGTATCTCATTCTCAGGATTTCTCATTTTGTATGTTTCGATTATTAATGGGAATTTTCTCCAATTATCGCTTACACTCCTCTAAAGTATTATAGTAAAACATTCACAGACTTCTAAGTATCCGTAAATGATCCTGAAATGAGCGATAAACGAACCGCCGTCGAAAAAATGTACAATTCGATCAATCGACCGGCCAAAGAGGAGAGGCAGTGGTCGGTCATTTATCACGCGATTTCAGGAGGTTTCTCACCGAAGTGGTTATATCACAGTGCAACGATCCAGATACTCGATTGAGTTTTTTTGTGGGAGTTCGACCGAGATAACCGATGACGGTGAATCGAATCTAACATGTTTAGAGACGAGTAACAATATTATTTACCGTATCGATTACAATTACAGTCCCAATCGATCCTATACGTGACAATCGCGCCTCTAGAATCGCGTATCACAAAGAGCGACAGTGTGCATCATCGTTTATGTGTATGCTCGACGGCTTCGATTTAGCTTCAGAATGAATTCGCATCGAGAATAATGTTGCAATCTCAGGATTTTCAACCGTAAACGCGCGAGTAGATTCCCGGTGAGGGAATTTTCCGGTAATTCCCCGGTGAGGGAATTTTCCGAGTAAAACTTGACGCGATTGGACGAAAGTTCTTGAATTAATCCTACGGAGATCCAGACTGACTTACGTCAATTCGCAAACTACGACAGAACAAATTCGTTCTCTCGACGTTTGCGACGTGATATTAATATGTTTCTGGGCTAGTGGTGGCGTTGAATTAATAATCGTATTTGTATACGACATCCGATGGTTCTATTCGATACCGTGCGCGAAAATCATCACTAATCCAGGCTCGACCATCATGTCCTCTGGCATGTGCATATTATCACAGTGGAGGACCAATACCGCTTGCTTGCCAGGCACTCTTTTGCACACATAGTTGTCGTATTGTCGGCGAGAGTTTTGTCTGGTCTCGAGGGAATTTAATCCTGGTGGCCATTTTCTTTCGTGGCAGTTCTCCATTAGCTCGTCAATCACGTGAGGTGGACAATTGTATTCTGACAAAGTTCTCTTGATCATCGTCTGTAAATGTCAAAGGTGCAATCTCGTGATGAACGCGAACGCCAGTGTCAATTTAATGACTGGTAAATTAATTAATTAGTAATTCGCACCTGGAGCAACTCGTCGGGAGTAGAAATCATACCACCCCACCTGGTAACACGAGCGCGTGGCAAAGTTGCGGACCATCTCACGACATCATCTCGCTCCATCTGATCTGCAATCGCACGCATCGCCGGGTTCGACACCCTGAGCGCACGCATAAAATCCTTAAGCAGGTGGATCTCGCGCTTGTGCTCGTTGATCTGCAGCTGCTGTTCACCAAGCTCGCGCTTCATGTCAGCCAGCTTCTGTTGCTGTGACTGTATCAGATTACGGAGCTCACGCACACAGTTGTGATCCTTGAGCTCGTTCTTGGGAATGATAAGGCTGCAACCCTGCTCGCACAACATCGGTCTCTTCGGATTATACTCGCACTGCTCAAGATGAATGGCCAGACAGTCTAACTTGATAACCGCGTTGCAGCCGTACACAATGTTGTCACACTTGATGCACAAACGGGCCAACAGGTTCCTCAGGATTCGAGGGACTGCTCTAAGCTGAGCCGATGTGATGGGTGTACGGTCCAGGGGGCACGTGGGTTGACGATTTATCCACTCGTTGATGCAGGTGCGACAAAAGGCGTGTTCACACACTGGCGCCTGCAACACATTACTCACCTGCCAGTCCTCGTAAGCTGCCACAACTTTGTAAAGCAGTAAAATTTCTATAGATGTGTATGCTATCTCTTATAATATTTAACGGATATTTAAATCGTAAATAAATATCCTCCGAGAACAAAATAATAAACATTTTTAGGCATGCGAGAAGATGCAAATGCGAGTAGTGTAAAATTCAAAAGTCGAAAATATATGGAATCGCTTACGGAATTAGAGAAAACGTGAAAAGAAATATGTACACATATAAGGGGATAGCTCATGTATAAACATTTGTGCTTTATGTAAACATTAAATGCCCGTTTGATTTGAAACAAGTATCTTTATACAAACTTCTTAATCGATAAACCGATAACGAGCGATTAATAATGCTGGACGCAAGAAATGTTAAAAGTGACGAGTCAAACTAACCTATATTCACAGATGCGCAATTTCGTTTACTCTTATCTCGAAGCGAGCGAGGAAGCAAAGACAGGAACAGCGGCAAGCATCGAGAAATGGAGCAACGTGATATCTCGCACGGAAACATTACGTACTCGAGAGATTTCTCTTTCGCGATCTGCGAAATGAAATAAAATTTCGCCGTAGATTCGTTGAGACCTCTCGCTTCAGCGACAAATCAGCAAAGTCCTCGGATGATTTCGCGAAAATCTGAACTCCTCGGCTCCTTGTCTCTTCCTTCTCGCAAACCGAGACATCCCTCGCGACTAAACTCGATTCTTCTCCCATCTCAAATTCGATAGCTTTTCGTGCAACACCGCGAAGGATGGAGGTTAGGCTGAGGAGGATGTATCGCGACGAGGTGCCCTCAGTTCGAACACGCGTATCATCCTACCTGAACAGGATCCTCGAGGACGCCAGAACATATCGGGCACACGAGCTCCTCGTCAACGTCGCCCTGGAAGCGGTTCACATCGAACCCCATCGCTCGCGAATGCGGGTGTCGCTTGATGTCGCCTAGTGTCGCCTCCTCGTCGTCTCTCGCGACTGTCAGGAACGGATCTAGTGACACGGAGACACGAGGGACTTCCCGGAGTTGCCCTAATTACTCAAACTCTCTCAAACTTACCTCGCGAGTCTCCTCTTTTCAGACTTTTTCCAAAACTTTGCACAGGAAATTAAAACACACACATTTCTGTGACACATCACATTTCTTATATAACTTATACGTTACGTACTTATTATATCTATTTCAAAATATATTTATAATTTACAATTGCTCAGTGATCAATTGTTTAGATGATAAAGATTCAAAGATTTTAATATTGGCTACAGTTGACTTCCCATATGTGTGCCTAAAAAGACACTTCCCTGCCTGAATTTGCGGGAAGTCATCCTCGATCGAATTTATTCCACGTAAGATTGTTAGCCGACGAATTTCACAGTTTCGCGAGAAGACAGCATTGACCCCCTCGTTTTTTTCCACTTCGAGATCATCCGAGACTGATCCGAGACTCAGCTCGTCACTACCGCGCGAACGGCGAACGGTTTTACCGTTACACTCGCGTCCATCCCGTCCATCCCGTTCTCGCACTAATCGACCCGCTGTTCCCAAAACACACAGGTCGAAATATAACGTCGTCCGCTTCACATTAGAAGAAAGATCGAAAAAGCTTTCCCTCGTAATCTTATCATATATTTATATATTTGCAGGGAAAACATAAAGAGGTAGAGACCGCGGGGACGCGGTGAAGTCCTTCGGTCTCCGGTACAAATAGCGTAGAATTAGCCGAGGCCAAAAGCTAAGTAAAGATCCTGCCTTTAAAACGTCTGGGAAATCTATGATGAAACATCCTGGAAATTCAGAGATGTTTTTGTAATTGGAAATCTCGAAACCGCAGAAAAGAGGCAGCTGGCCGCTTTATAATCAAGGGTCAGGGTCAAACGTTTGAAACAACGAATTTATCATCGATGCGGTAATACGATGCACAGATGCGCGAGTGTACATTTTTAAAAACCAAGTACATACTAGACCTCGTGAGTGTTTTAACTTCTGACATTTCTTTTGATGCTCCTTGACACGTTGCATTCGCTCGAGGCACGTGCGTAACACGTGTCTATAGGCATTCGTCCGACGCAATTTTTAATTTCTTTTGATATAATCTGGACTCTGAAAGGGAAGAAGGATCTTGCTTCCGTTCATCGTTTCGTTGCACTATAACGACATTCGTCGTTTCCGTGAAGAAATATATAAATTAAAGATGAAAAAAGATTAGATTTGAAACTTTCGAAACGCGAACTATAGTATTCTTTATCGAGATGACTGATAGATTTTCGCCAGCAACTTTGTTCGAAAAAACTTTGTACGAAAAGTTAATAATTCTATTCACTAATTCTGTTTACAAATAAATCTCTTAATGAATGCTGTTTTTTTATAAATCATAAACTCGGTAAATTCATCATCGTTGATTATTACATAAACGTTTAACAGCAAGAAACGAATTAATACATACCAAAAGAAAAAAGTCACTTGAGATTTCACAGCATGAAAAATCCAAGCGTCAATATTCCTTTCGCATCCGTCTACAAAATCTTGAAATTTTCGAGAGCAGCGCGATAAACCTGTCATTGTAATCAGATTATTTGTTTACAGGTTTTAATAGATAAGATGAGAAGCGATAGAATGGATGCTTTGTGTTATATTCGAAAAGGCGAACCAGTGTCCGAGTTATCGTCGTGAGAATAAGCTGAACGACGGAGAATCGGTGAAAATGGACACATCGGGCCCGTCGAAGAGAAAAAATTTCGAAAATGAGATCCGAGGTATCTAATCTTTTATATAACGGCGATCTTACTTTATTCTTAATGGCTCTCATCGTGTGTACACGTAAAGAATATAAGAATATATAAGAGTTTATTTTAATTAAATAGATTGAGATAGAGAGAATATCACTATTATGCAGTATCCTTACTCCTTTTGTTCCTTGGCTCCTTAGAACTTGAATATTTTTACACATGTACAATCCGATCAATCGCGATTACGCGATCCAAGATATTGACGAAATGAGAACGTTTCTCTGATAAATTTCCATGAATTCTTACTGCAATTCGATGATAAAAATATTATTTCTAATAAAAACAAGTTTTACTTCTTGCAACTGCCAGACACAATCATAAACGTTTTATATGTCTATTTGAATCAATTTGTTAATTTAATTATATTAGTTGATAAATCTCGAAGTGATTGAGATATAATTTGCTTATCATCAGTAAATAATTAACTCATTAACTAAAGAAATGAAGTTTTAGTTAATTTCGACATAAAGTTGGAAAATAATTAAACAAGTGCTATTGGAATGTAAGATTAGTGGTGATTGTCGTTTCATTTACTTTAGAAGTAAATGTTAGGTAATAAAGCAATTTTACAAATGTTTAAACTGTTGAAGATTTTCTTATCTCTTGTGGATAAAAATTCATATTTATTTCATTTAGATAAACGGTTTGCGCAAATGATAAACAAGTAATAAGAAAATACCTCGAGATATTAAACAATCTTTCCAATTGTATAGAAATACTTTATTTTTTACAACTACACAGATAGAGAAATAAGCAAATTTTTTAATTCTGTTAAATAGAAAAGTACATTTTTATTTCAATTAAATAATTTGTTTAGAAACAAAAGACAATAATACGTTGATAATAAGTATATCTAAATAGTAATCCAATAATCCAAATAGTAATTCTTTTGAATTTTGCAAAAATCTTTAGATCAATCCAATAAAAGAGTCTTATCTTACCGAAGAATGTCAAGCATCGCATTCGTCGATACGATCGGCGGTAATTACTAAACACAGAGATAAATCTTTTTTGTATCTTTTTAACAACACCATTTATCTGGAATAAGATTGTAATTAATACAGGAAGCTTGATAAAAATTATCATGTAACGGAACAAAAATGACGTAAATATATTGTTGCATATCACGAGCATTATCTGATTTCGCTAAATCTAATGTTTTCAGAGGCTGTATTGTGATAAATATTTATATGATTGAATATTTGGCAGTTTAATCATCGTTAATTGTTCGCCTAATAATTCTTTTATCGGCTTGATGCGTGATTGGACCCTGACCCAATTTAAACAACCAAATTGTCACTATGAATATTGATGGCGTCAAAATCGGTCATCTCGGTTACTTTCTCTAACAATAAGATAGATTAAGACTGGCTGTGCTAGCAATGATTAAATTTATTTTTGAATAAAAATACGTGATCAATATTATAAATCCTTCAATTTGTATCATCGTAAGTGGAGGTATTCTAATAATAAAAAGCTGATTTTCCTTCATATAAATTCCTTTGTTAATTTCTTATATATTATATGTTTATATTATATGTTTCAGATCACCCACATAATCAGAAAGATGATATCGAAGAGCAAGAAGAGGTGAGATTAAACTCAGCATCCAAATTGTAAATATTCGTGTATACACGTCATACTATACGTTCATACTATTTATAGTTTATTAATATATTTAGAGACATTTTTGCAAAGTAGATAACATTTATTTCAGATAGATAAATAGATAAGATTGGATTATCTCATTTTATCATTTTGTCTGATAATTTTGCCTGTGATTCCGGTGCAAACTTTTATGATTTACACAAATTTATTTTTGATCACAATTTTTTAATAACGTTAGCACCAAGTTTGAAAAATTATTATTGCATTAAGTGTGTATTGAGCATTACGAAATTCAATGACGACAGTGCAGCAATACGCGACTTGTATTTTCGTATGAACGGTTAGTGATTAAAGTAATTTAAGGAGAAGAAAAAATTGAGATATAAGATTCTTGGCGATTTCTTGCCGATGAATTCATTTCCCGTTTTTCAATATTGCAAAATCTTTAAATAAACGTCCCGCATAAATGTCTCCATCGAATTTACATTCACATCGATCGACCACGTTTTTATTGAGCAACTTTTCTGTTCTCTCCGTGTTGCTTGTCATCGCGATTCAACTTTGCCGTTTTACGACAGGTTCTGCAATATACACGATGTTCCAATTTGAAATGAAAGTTCGTATAAAGTTTCAACAGTTTTTATAACGAATTCCGAACGAGAGATTTTCCTTGGCAAAAAATTTCGGAAAAGCTGATATAGATTGAGACCCTGAAAAGTAAACTTGATTAATTTATTTAAAAAAAATTCTTTCCAATAGGATTGAACCGATTTTGATTTTTGTACAGTCATATCTGTTTCTCACTGCTTATCTTTAATTGTAAACGAAAGATATAATCATAATAATTCGATTGCAGTCTACAATCGTAATCATTCTACTAATAGATAATTTACAGATAATACGAATAGATGTAAAAGATAGCATATAAACATATATATATATATATATATATATACATATATGTCATATGAGTGTGTAATATGTCATATTACTGAGAATGGAATCTAACAATTGAATCATTGGATATGCCTCAGCATTTTTAATCAAAATATGCACTTGTACAGTGTATATTTTGATAATCACACTACATAAAATGCGCGCGACTTTTCCTGTTCTTATTCTGTAAACGTATAATTTACGTCATTGAGGTCGGCAACACAAGCAATAGATTTCTATTATTAGAATTATGATGATGGCATTTACTAGCCACAGATGCGTTTTGTCTCTCGCTGGATCGACTGTCGAAACATAAATATTATTTATTAGATTCGAGAGAGATAATAAATTCAAAAATTGTCAAAAGTCACAGTGTTGTACCTTTTATCTGACTTAATATTCTACATTCCCACATTTTTAACGTGGAAACAATGAACGCGCTTTCCAATCACAGAAATTCGTAATCATTCGAGATTAATCGACCGTAAATCAGGAATAATCACATCCGCGTACCTGAACCACTTGCGAAAAACGATCGGCAGTGGTGGTCCGATCGCACGTGGCCCCGTGTGACCACGTACTTTCACGTTGTTCCAAATACTACGTCGGAACAGCGCTGGATTACACGCTCATACCACGATGTAATGCCTGTCTGTCACGTGTGTATTATGCCCGCTTCGAGAGGCGATACACTGTGCTTACTTGGTAGAACCTACCTACCTACCTACCTACTCTGGTAGCTACTGTGCTCACTCATGGCCGCTGATGTCAGTCTCAATGTACAAGCGCGAACGAGCGGAGTCATTGAAGCTTGCGACGACTGATCGGTCATCGTCACTTCTCGATCTGGGCATAGGTGAACATTGTGATATATCGGGCGCAATATCCACTGATGAAACGATCGTGAAACGATAGTAATCGATATTAATTTTCTCCCAATCGTGATCGCTATCGCTATCGATCTACTGCGCATACGATGGTTGTGAATAAAATGCACGTGCAGCAGGTAAACCTATTGTCTTATCACAAACGATAGCTTACTCGACAAGACTCAATACCGAATAATTTAACTGATCGTGCCTTTTTTTCTAAAAGCTACCGATAGAGTAGACTAGTTTATTGTTAGACTAAAAATTAGTTTTATTGTTCCGAAATGTAAAAAAGAGATATTTGAAAATTTTATAAAAATAAATTTTATAAAATATTTTGTAAACTGTTAGGGAAAAGACGAAATCTTTATTAGAGTCTTTCCAAACGTATTGCGAAAAGAGATATCTCTGTTTGTTTATAGCTTTATTTAAAAATATAACGCGGATTCGTGTTTAATTTGACTGTGTTGTATCTTGTGTCTTTAATTGAAGTTACATAAACACGAGATCACTTGATTTTCAGATACGCAGATTTAAATTCATATAAAAACTAGTTTCATCTGCAGAAATATTCTATAAACACCTTTATCTTTTTAATATATTTTCACTGATATATTGGAAACATGTTTACATAATTTATATATTCTTAAATTACTGGAATAATTCATAAATGGATAACTTGAGAGCATACATTGATTTTTAATTTACAGCTGGTTCATTGACTCACTTCCATTCACTTCAACATACCCGATTAATTTTCTTGATCGCGGTCAACTACTATACTTTCTCCGAGACACAAGTTTTTCCTCAAAATTCTCTAATCCAGTTTGAAAATTTGTTCAAATATCGAAAAATCCATTTCCATTTACGATCTAAAATAATAAATATTGCTGATATTACTGTGTATCTGTGAAAGTAGATCATTTAAAGCTCTTCACATGCATCATTATCGATCTGTCTACAGCGTAATTACTCGATAAGTATTATCGACATTCATATTTGATTCGTGGCAATCGCCGGTTAAAAAGTACATTATTGCAGATAAAAACTCTGTATTACTAGCGAATCTTGTTATGTTTATATTATACGTACAAATGTGACAAAAGATTGCCTTTTTTATCAGCATTTGTGAATATTCTATTGTTTGTACCGATCCGCATTTGGATATTTGTTTGTCAAAAATAATAAAACGGGTAAACATTTAAACAAATGGAAGTGCGTCTTAAACAACTAGTAATGATATGTCATTTTTTAAGATATTATTTAAATGATAATGTTATTATCGTCGGTATCTCAGAAATTAATTATAGATTATAAAATTATTTCATATCAATGTGGAATTACATCGCGCAACTTTTAAATTATAACTAAATATTAATCAAATGCGTCTTTCTACATTAACTGATATCAATGATGCAACTTATACTTTACATCAATGTTCTCTATAAACATTCGCATACTCAGCTATGTCCCTGAGAAAACAATGTTATCATTAACTTAATTGACAAAGCAATAACTGGAAACGGACGGCGTTAAAAATAGTTAATTACTTCCCACAATAAATTCTTTACGCGTCGAAATTTCTTTGAAATATAAACAGGTTTTTAATTATTATATCAAGCCTCTATATAATATCTACGAACAACCTCGCTTTGAGATATCTAATCGCAAAAATAACTGCACCACAATTTGTTACATTACGCATTTACAGAATTGTCTTTATTATACTATATTATGTGTATGTCATGTGTATATTACAGAATGATTAATAATAATAATATACATAAGCGTTCTGTAATATTTTATTTTATATATTAAATTTTTCTATGTTGCTCCATACTTGCATATATCTAGATTTTAAACTACATCATTTATCAAAGATAGAGCAAAAAAAATTAAGCAAAAAAAAAACAAATATGCGTTCTCGCAATTGATATTATGTGAAAACGTTAATTATCTCACACAAAGTATTACGGCACAAGTTTATTTTCTTATCTTGTCTCTGAAATTTTTATCCCTAATCGTTAAATTCAAGACATATGACATAAATGATAATTCGGTCGGTACGACCTTCGCATTTCGATCTTCGCTGGGAAATACTGGAAAATAAATATACCTGTCGTACACAGTGATGTTAATCGGGTCAATGTAATCACGCTAGATTTTTTTCTTTGAAAAACTGCTGTTGTAACTCGGGACAACAGCAGTTTTTCTAAAAAATAATTTTATTTTTCAATTAATTAAAAACCATTTTTATTTTATAAATTTAATTTCAGAATTAAAACCTGCAAAAATATTTAATTCCAGTATTTAATTAATTATTAAAATATTTAATTTGATTTTAGAAGCTGAAATATCCCAAATCGGTATTCTTCATCGTCAGCAATGAATTCTGCGAGAGATTTTCTTTCTATGGAATGCGCAGTGAGTATATAAATCGTCAATGTCAGTTCAAGTATTAACGTCAATCACTTGACAATCTATGTAATTTAAAAATAATGCTACGATAATTAGAACAATTGCTTTTTTAATTAGAATTCTGGATGAAACTATCTGGATATAAAATTTCTCAATTAAAAGAACACAATAGATTTCCAACTGTATAAGTTGACAATTTGCATGCAATTTAATCTCCGTATGCAGAACAATAGATATTGCATTATTTTTATTTTTCCAACCTTTTAATACAAATTACATGGAATTTGTTGAAAGATTGCGAATTGACACAAGTTAATTAATAGATATAATATATTAATTATCTTTCAGCCGTCCTATCGCTGTACCTGTTCAACATGCTGAAATATAGTGAAGATACATCAACAATAATCTATCATGTCTTCACTTGTTTCGTCTACTTCTTCCCACTAGTTGGTGCGATCATATCAGATTCATGGCTTGGAAAGTTCAGAACTATTTTTTACTTGAGCATTATTTACGCAATTGGACAAATAATTTTATCCTTAAGTGCAGCACCTTTTGGATTGCCTGCAAGGTCGGTATACCTAAAATATATTTAAAATCTTGAATTAACATTTCTCGAAAACATAGATTAAAAAAAGCTTCATACATTCAATTACAATTTCTTTTTGACTTAAAATTATATCTAAATTTAAATAGATACTATTTAAATATGATTCAATTTGAATATTATTCCAATGATAATTTTAAAGGCTGTTAAATTTCTATCGATAAAAGAATAAGCTTCCAATATTATAATTTTCAGAGAATTTTCCATGATAGGTTTATTCCTAATAGCATTTGGAACAGGCGGGATAAAACCTTGCGTGGCGGCTTTCGGAGGCGATCAATTTGTAATACCTCAGCAGGAAAAACAATTGGCAATGTTCTTCTCTCTTTTCTATTTTTCCATTAACACAGGCTCTCTAATCTCCACTTTGCTAACTCCGGTGATCCGTGAAACAAAATGCTTTAACGACGATTGCTACTTTGTGGCATTTTTAGTGCCAGCCGTTTTGATGATTACATCAATCGGTAAGAAATGAGATACATATATTTATCATTCATACAGATGCAGCGGCATTAATAAGAATTTATTTTCAGTGATATTTGTTTTGGGAAAAAGATTATATAAAATGATCAATCCCACGGGCAATCTCATCATCAAGGTTTCCAAATGCGTTTGTGTAAGTCGTATATCACGAATATCGAAATATCAAACCATCTTAACTTCGAAAATTCGCGATATAAAAACTATCTACAATGTATCATACAAGAACATTATCTAATATAATTATCTAGTATAATTAAAAAAAATTTGTTATTTAAAAATGCAAATAATATACAAATAATTTAGAATATTTTAATTCATTTTAATTATACCGATGATATTCGCTTATGTTTTATAATGATTCTGAATCCTTTTCTGAATATAAGTTTTGTAATTCGTAAATGCGGAAATCAGTAAATCTTTAAATATAATTTTAAAGAATCGTATAAATTTATTTAGATTTTTAAAATTTTAAAATTTTAAAATTTCTAGTGAAGAAATAAGAATTCTTTATTAATCTCTTTCTTTAAATATATGATTATATAAATTTTTGGATTCATGAATCTTCTCGATCTCAGAAATTCTCTAAAGAAAATGTCTTCTTTTTATGTTTCAAAAAGCATGCAATCGGCAATAAAATCAATGGTAAAGGAAGAAAACGTGATCATTGGCTCGACTATGCTGATGATGATTACGATAGCAAGTTGATCGAAGATATTAAAGTCTCACTAGAAGTTTTGAAAATGTTCGTACCACTACCAATATTTTGGGCACTTTATGATCAGCAAGGATCTCAATGGACATTTCAAGCAACACGGATGGATGGTCAGATAGGCAGTTTTACACTGTTACCCGATCAGTTGCAAGCTGTCAATCCGCTGTTAATCATCATCTTTATACCAATCTTTGAGACTTGTATCTATCCATTTTTCGCCAAGATACACATCATCGATACACCTTTGAAGAAGCTTGTTGTCGGCGGATTCTTAGCCAGTGTTGCTTTCATCGCGGCCGGTATTGTGGAAATAGAAATCATGGTAATGATAGAGAAAACTTTTATATTTGTATGTAATGATTAATGCGACCATACACCTTTGAAAAATGAAGAAATACGAACGTGATCTTTTATTTGAATTTTTTTAAACTTTATTCCAGAAATTATTGCCACCATTACCGACAAATGGATCCGCTCAAATCCGAATTTTCAATACAATGAATTGTAGCGTGGGTCTAGATATAAAAAACCAAAATATTACAAAAATAAACGCATTAAGTATGGAATTTTTAGAAGTGAAAGCAAATAAATCTGTTACAATATCCTGCATAGCAAATCTTCAAGAGTGCAATAATATGGGCTATACCGATTTGATAACAGATATCAAAGGTAGATTTATAGATTCTAGATACTAAAAAATCATTTTTGTATTTTCATATTTTACAAGTAACATCATTCATTAGAAATTACGGCAGAGGAGGCCACCGCAACGTCTTGGGTTATAACGCCTCGGGGATTACAATTAAGCTATAAAGATTCAGTGGACACACCAGACAAGGGTAAACCAATGATCCGCAGTCTCATCTATCTAGCACCCGAATTCAATAATGTCAATTTGACAGTACGTTATAAAAATACTCCAATAGTATCAATTCCGATTACTAGTTTAAGATCGGAACCACAGAAAATCGAAAGTCCAGGTGAATACGATGTCTATCTGAACGAAAATCTGCTGGACAATAATGTGCCTTTCAAACTTGGTGGGTTATACACCGTAGTAGGTGCTCACGTACCCAATATAAAGACTGCCGGCAAAACGATCATGGTCAGGCCACCCAATAAATTGCACATGGCTTGGATGTTGCCACAATATATTATCATTACAATGGCCGAGGTAATGTTTTCGGTGACGGGCTTACACTTTGCTTTCTCTCAGGCTCCGGTGAGCATGAAATCCCTGTTGCAAGCAGGTTGGTTGCTGAGCGTGGCTTTCGGCAATCTAATCGTGGTGATCATAAAGGGTTCGCGTCCCTTCAAGGAACAGGTAAGTGATTAATTATACTTGATAAAATTCACATAATTTTTTATTCTTCTTAAAGTGTCTGTTATTTTAATTTTCCCATTTCTAATATATATGTCTTTTAATCGAGCGCTAAATGAAATGCATATGAATCGAATTCCTTTATTTATTTTGCAGGTTTACGAAATTTTTTTGTATGCGGGTTTAATGGCGATAGTTATAACTATATTTGCTATAATGACTATCTTCTACAAATATGTGGAAATACCAGAGGAGGAAGATCCTGATGGAGCCATACCTTTGGACAGGAAAAATGGAAATGTCAATCCAGCCTATAAAGAGGATGAAAAATGACAATGAGAGATGATCGAGTGAGAAATAATAATTTTCACGTGTTTTTTTATTCGAACAATAAGAACACGTGGCTTGTTAAAATGTAAGAGATATTACTGCTTGTACATCGAGGATGTGTTCATTTTTATTGAACATTTATTAGCCTCGAACGGCAAGGTAATAGGAACTTTATTCCCTCATATAAAAACTTACTTTTTTCTCTTTGTTTTTCAACCAAAGAGTTTATGGCAGACTGAAAAAATACATTCCGCCGAATAGCATTTATAATGCATTTCTACTGTACAAAAGTGAATAGAAATCTGTAGAGTAAGAAATGAAATATCCTATATTTTGAAATGACATTTAAAACTTTAACAATTGTAAATAAGATAATAGTTTTTTTTTCTTAATAGTTTTTATATTTTAAAATTATAGCACGATATTATATTAGCAAATTATTAAAATTGTACAAATGTGATGAATGACAGAAAATTAGCTCAACTGTATAAAATTTAATTATAAAATTATAGGAATTTTAGAAATTAATTGTTGTGAATGAGAAGTTTTATAAGCGAACAAAAAAATTTTAATGGCAAAGTATTGAAAACGATTTTGAACACACATTAATGATGATTTTATAATAAGCAATATTTAAAATTAATAATTTTTTTAACAAAAACTGTATAAAAATATTTTTATACAAATATTAAATTTTACTTTTGAATTGTATACAATAAAATAAAAATTTAATAAATATGTGGAGGTATATTTTAATTTTAAAATTTCAAAATTGCGTGCGCAAATATTTATATACTAATTATCTATTATATACTAATAATCTGAACTAATTCATATAATATCATTTATTTCCGCAAATCCAACTAAATTTCTACAAATTCTAGCACATTGTAATAATGCGTGTCACATGAGCCAAGAACTTTGAAAGTGTAATAAATTGATTAAACATTTCAGACGAATCTTACGCCAAACGTCGATACATTATTTCGCTAGAGAGATGACTTTTATTACTTTTCTTATCGAAAGGGATGTAAATAAACAATTCTTCTACTACATTCTGCATCGCTTCTGCAGATTTAATGAAACTGAATCATAATCTTTCAGATGTGATCGCAAAATTATCTGCGTAGACTAGTAATAATCGTTCAGTTACCGAATAGGGCGATATCATCCTTTCATCTCGATAAATGTACAAGCGGACGAAAGGCAATTGAACGCGCTTCTATCTATATAGTTAATCTATTTTTAGCTTCTAATATTATCCACAGAACGCGAAAAAATTATAATAAAGAATTTCATTCCAAACAAAGCAACCGCTCTCCATAGACGATCTCTCAAGAAACTCAGCTTATCACTCTTTTCTCTCTATTTCCACTTGGGTTTTATTATATATAATTAGTTTCATAATTTTATACAACTATGGTCAGTTTTAACATTCTATAATATAGCAAGTACCACTATAAATACTATCACGTACACAGTGATTCTTGATTCCACAGTGATTCTTGCGACAAATCGAAACAATATTCAACAAATCGAAATAATATTCGATAGAATACTTTGAGATTCATTTTTAGGACGTTTTTCCATTTTTATTTATCGCGTGCAATTAAGAATCACTCGTATATACAAAGCGCTCCCTAGTATCTTTATTTTTTTAAACTCATATTCTGGTTCATTGTCATTAAAATTTTTTTTCATTAATAATGGGATACATTCTTGGCCTCTCTTGACAAGTCACTTGATCAATCATTATCGGCATGAAACTTGATTTTATCTGCTGAGTGATAAGAAATCCTAATGTTGTAAACGACGCTTTCAGTACACATTTCGATCGGACCATATCTAAAATACAATACTATGATATTTCATGCTTACAAATCCAATTTGCGTATTTATCCACCATTTAACAGATCTATTTAGCAATTTGTTTAACGTATAGATATCAATCATAAATGAGGGATTAGTAGTTTATTAGTACAAAGATAGAGGACCGACGAAAAAGCGCTTCTTATCATCACTTTTTACTCCACCTCGACGCTTTACAGAATCCTCCCTCTGAAACAGATAATCCTTTTCGTAATAATCTTTTTCGTGCAAATGCGAACCATCTTGACATTCTTAAGCTTAAAATCTCACCGTGTGTGCTCGTATCTTGTCAAACATCTCGCGTGCGGTATCGTAAGCGAGTGATCCGACTTGAGCAGCTGCGGTGACTAGAGTTTCTGGTAAAATGTGGACAGGATCGGTACCAAGTGTTTCACCAATGGATGTCTTCCTCGATCCTACATTGGAACTCGGCCTATCGGATCCATTCGTTCGACTGGACTGGTATGAAGCATCGTTTGAAGTACCTTGCGAGGCACAGTTGTGCAGAGTGTAGGCGCACTCCGAATAATTGTCCGCATTATTCCAATTCCAATTCTTCCCGTTTGTCCTGGCTTCCTTCGTACAGCCACCACTAACATGTACATCATGTACACCATTTCTTGATGCTGTTGTCGCGGTCACAGTAGCAGTTGCTGTTGCTGTTACCGTTGTTGCCGATGCTTCTCTTAGATCTTCGACCATTGACGGCATCTGCTCATTATATCTGCCGCTGCCATAAGCTTCAGTGTAAATGTCAGTTGTATCAGTAGTGTGCGAGTGAAAGCTCTGCGTGAAGTCATTCGAATCGGTCTGCGATTCGCAGCTACACTGAGACTGCGTCTTCGAGTCACAGTGAGTTCGCACGTTTAGATAACTCGTATGCGAGTTTCTCACGTCGTCGTATGAGCTCTTCGTATTATCGCAAATGTCATTCATGGTATCCTCTTGAGGACCCTTTTTCCGTTCGCTCGATCGTTGTTCCGAGTGCGACAATTTCGAACAGCAAGTATCCTGCACTGGTAGAGTCTCTGTTACGAACGAGTAGGTTCCACCAGACCGTTTCTCTAAATCGGTGCTAATGCATTCATCGGAATCTATCCACTGACGTTCACTGTAGATTTTACCATGAATATCAACTACATAAATGGAGTTTGTCGGTTTCGGATTCATATCTGCGGAATGTAACGATTGTCCTTCGGAATTTCCCTCATTTGCCGAAAAATGCTCTTCGTTGAAATACATGAAACATGTGGGAATGGGCGATGGTGGTTCTGACAAAAGTTCGAAACTGGGCGAGTCCCGATTGCTATCATGTCGTCGTTGTTCAATAACAGGTTCTTCAGGATGCGTAACCGATTCATCTCTACTTCCCGAAGCAGGCATTTGAATAATCTCGAAGGCATCATCATCTTCTTCCTCTTGATCACACGACCAGAAGCTGGTTTTATCGATATCCGTGTTGTCACAGCACCAGGCATCTTTACTACGACGATTTTCATCTAATATTTGATGTCCAGTGACGGAACAACTCATACGAAGCTCATTATCAATTATTCCCAAGGGTTCGTCATATGGTATTGAATCCGTTTGTAAAAGTAAATTCTTCTGAGAAATAAAATCTTCTCGCGCGTTATTCTGAATAGATTGCTCCTGTTCCTTATTGATATCATCATTCGAGTTATCGCTGGTTACTTGAGCGACTCGTTGATGACACTTCTTCTTCTTCTTTTCCTCTTTGACGCTCGCACAAATAGCGGCACCAATAAGATCAAGATTTTTCTGTAATCGACGTGAAATATCCGTGGTATTCGTGGTATTTCGCGGCTCGTATGTGCGACCCGTCGAAGCATCGTCACTCGATTGTTCTCCATCCTGAGGCCTCATCTTTCTCTGATTTTTCTCACTTGAATGGGAATCAAAGTGTCGAGAAAATCGTTTTGAGGAAGAAAGATGTGACTGGCCTCGGGATTGACCAAGTTTTTTTGAAGGGACAGATATAAAGGGATCTAAGGGAAGTTTATTCAACATCTCCGTCATTTCCTTTACTACTTCTTGGCTAATTGTAGATATCACATCTTTTTTTGTCTGCATATTTTCTGTGGTATTTGTGTTTTGCGGCTCATCTACGCGTTCAATCGAAGCATCACTCGATTGCTCTTCATCTTGAGAGCTCATTCTTTTTTGAGTCTTCTCATTTGCATCGAAGGAACATCTGGGATGTCGCTTTGAGAGAGAAGAATACGATTGACTTCGAGACTGATCGAGTTCTTTTAGAGGTGGATACACGAAGGAATCTAGGCGTTTATTCAACACCTCTGTTACATTTTTCACTACTTCATTTGTAATCATAGATACCATGTCCTTCTTCATCTGTAAAATGATAACATTTACTGTTTCAGCAAATCTTTATTTTCATTATATTTTATCTGTAAAATTATATTTTTTTGTACCAAATGTTTATTAACGTTGAAATATGATAAACAAGTGATAAATAACATCATTATGAACAAACAAATATTCCGAAAATTATTTAAATATTTACACTCACATTTAGGAACATTCAGTTACTCGCACTACTTACCATCTCCATGTATTTGATGAACCATTGAGGAGGAACCATATCTGAACATTGTAACGAAGTATTCAACTCTTTAGGTATTTCCATTTCCTTCGATTCCATCTGTTCCTTGTTTGATTCATCACTTGATTGTTTTATGTTCTTTTGATTCGATGATATTTTCTGGATTGAGCATTTCTGCTTGTCGAATTCAAAATTTGATTCCGACATAAAACTATTATTTTTCTCGGTAAATGACGAGATAGGATTGCTATTGATACTTTTCAGCTGTTCTTTGCTCGAACAAATCTCAGAGCCTTGCTCGTCATCACTGCATGACGTAGGTGTGTGGAAAGATCCCACAATCAATGGGATCGCTGTGTTTACCACAAAAGCGCTTTTTGCGAGCTACAGAAAAGGTTCGAAATGGCTTACTTTAATTTGTCTACATCTTTAAGTTAAAATTACTGCTCCTACTTATGCAATAATATCAATCTTGTTTTTAAGAAAAATATTTAGAAGATAATTTTGTGTACAAAGGTGTCACTTTTATATTTAATAATTTTAATTCACTTTAATTAATATTCACTTGATATACTTTTGTCTAATAATAGACAAAATAATTTTAATATTTTTGTTATCATTTTTTTTCCAATTAGTCTATGAAAACATTGGAAAATCATCTAAATCAAAATTATTAAAATTATTATTGTATCTCATCATCTTTCCCGATAATTTATTTGTTAATTTGTCGAAAAAATCGTTGGAGTTATCAGAAGAATATATTTAAACAAAAGATTACGCGATTAATTTAAATTTCGTTCTAAGGAGTAGTATATTAGGGGAAATAATTGACTTAATTGGCATGACATGCGGAAGATGAAACTTTAGGATAGCGCGAATTTTGAAATAGATTTCGTATGACTTCCTGTCAAAATATGCTCCTCTAATAACTTAGACGATTTTTTCAAGAAAGATAAATTTGGTATATTTCTCATCTGATTGCTCTTCTAAAAAAAAAAAAATAATTACAATAAAAATAAAATTCATAAAATTACGCTATTGTCACTCGAAAGGAGATATAATTACAGTGTGTGTGTATGTGTGTGTGTGTGTGTGTGTGTGTGTGTGCGCGCGCGCGCGCGCGCGTGTGTGTGTGTACATATTATATATATATATGTATGTATGTATGTATGATGTATGTATGTATGTATGTATGTATATATGTATGTATAGCGTTTTCGATTTGTTCACTCGATTCGACTCGACTCAGTTCTGTCTTTTTTGTTTTATATTTTTTTCTGTCACTTTTTCTCTCGTGTTTGACTCGACTCGGAATCGGCAAATCGAAAACGCTAATAGAAATGCACGTATGACGCGTACCTTTAATGCCTCGTGAAACTCGCATTCCGAATCGATTGGGACGTCGTCCCCATCATCATCAATGTAGAAGATGCGTCTGTCCTTCGGCACGCCAAATTGCTTCCACTACAGACATAAGAGTCCTCCGTTATCCACGTTAATTAACGCGAATGCAGAAGATTCCGGTAAATGTATAATTCAATAGCGAGAATCGATCTCAATATATATGTATTCTAACTTCTGACGTGTGCATTCGGAACTTTAAAAAGTTATGAATAATTTACAAAAATTAACGCTGTACCGCTTAAAATTGAAAATCATTTAATCGCGAGCGTATCCGTGCCAGGCATGGATGCGAAGGAAATGCGACTCACCAGATCTGTCCGTAGCTTTTTCAAGTCGAAGTTGTACGATCGCTGAATGATGACAATATTTTCGCCGAGCTCGCTGTCTATTCTCTCCTTCACTCGAAAACAATAATATTCCTCGGAGTCGTTCATCGTCGTTGACACGGTCGACATCGTTAGAACCGATGACGATAATGGCACTCTCACGGTTCCTTGGACTTGGAATACTTGAAATGTTGCGCAAGATGGAGCCGTTCGGAATCTGTGACGGCGATCGAGCTTTGGTTCTGTCTTTGTTTCGTTTGTCCGTACCGTTCGGACGATGCCAATCGAGAATGATCGTCTCTCTCTCTCTCTCTCTCGTTTTCTCTCGACAACGCGACGCGGTGCGACACACGACGGTTCCGCAACGCGAAATAAATATACGTTACGGAACGATCAACAACAATGAAAGATGCATAATATAGTTGTGTCAAACGACCCGATACTGCAGCGTAGCAGTCTCGCCAGCTGTTGGTAGTTCGGTAGCTCTAATGTTGACGAAACGCAACCAAGAGCCAAGAGCGAGAACTGTTTCCCGATCATGCGCAAGCGAGGCGAGGTCGAGTAATGATGTAGCCCTCTTCCCCCCCCGCCCCTCCCTCTTTGCCCCTTCCATAGGTCTCGCTATCTGAAATGTCCGGGGCAAATGTCGTTTTAGGAACTGTGCTCGAGATAGCACCCGATTTTCTTTATTTCTCTTTAATTCGCATCCTTCCAATAGCGCACGAAGGAAAACACTTTATAAAATAAACAATTTATTAATAAAATAATAATACATTCATCTATAATTTGTATATGTTTTTTACGCTAGCTTTTGATTAATAAGAGGAATGAAAATAATAATATTGTGTGTATGATTCTCATACAATTTGAATAGACAAACGTTGCAAGTTGCAAGATAAGATTATAATTTCAATGCGATATATCAGGATTAAATTAACATCGATTTAACAATCGACACAAATAATTTTCTATTCTCTGGCGTAGATATAACGCGTACAATCATGCTACAAACCGGTATATGCCAATAATCTATTTGTACACAGATTGTCCTTTCATAGTATTCTCTGCTTACGCGTTTAATATGTATACTCGTGTATATGACAATAATAATATGCACAGTGTCGGCATAAGACTAGAAACATATATTCATGCCTTAACATATCCTTACACTCATCAGCTAAAATACATTAATTGTTTAATAATATACTAGATAACGTTAGGAAAAGGAAGAACTCTTCATTATATCATTTTATGCCACATGCCTGTATTGTATTGCGTAACGGCAAATAGAGAAGGGATTTTGTAACAATTATAACGCAAGACGGAGGGAGGTGCATCTCTCCGTTAGCTTTGCATTTGAATCTTTGCATTAAATAGACATTTAACATTTGCTAAAATAAATAGAAGCTCTTCATTTTTTACTTAGGATTAATAGCGATTCACAATATAGATTCTCTTTATACAGCTAACAATGACTATTATCATAGAAAAATAAAATATATTGTCTTTTTAAGCCAACAAATGTTAGACGCATGTATATGTGTATATGTATGTGTATATGCGTGTGTGTATGTATATATCTATCGATTACTGTCAAAAAAGAACAGTTTCCTCGCAGCAAGTACATTCAAATTGTTATTCGTTAAAATAATGCTATGTTTTTAGAGGTAAAACGTAATCAGTATGTTCACACGGCTCATATTATTGACTTTTTTGTATCACATAAAGCAGAAGATAATTCGAAGCAATTACTTTAGATGAGAATAACAAGACACAATGGTACATTTTGTATACTTTCAAATAATCAATTTGCTTCAACTTGGATAAAATTATTTAGCATTACAAAGGATTATTAGTACTAGAATATAATAAAGCAAGCATGAAATTAATTAATTTTGATTAATTTTTTCGGAAGATTGTAAAGTCTTTTTATAATAATCTTTTATAAAGATTGTAAGATCTTTTTATAATAAAGATTTTGATAAAATATATTATTATGCATAAAAAGAAGTTTGTCAGGAACTCGTTATCTATTAGCATCTTTCACAATCTATCTAGACATAATGAAGCGCAAATTTAAATCGTAACGTTGTTCGTCATAATCTCGTTGCAATTCTGAAAAGAAAGATATTTGCAGTAATAAAAATCCACATTCCTCACGTATGTAAAATGAATACAATCCGCGAGACACTATTTAGAGTGTAATACTTATTCTTGAATATCCTATAAGACAGATGTATAAGAGTCAAGTTTTCGTAACATATAATCGTATAATTATACAATAATACTGTAACTAGAACTTTCCAAATACATTCGCAATATTAAACAAATTCGAATAACAGTGTAATCGTGGACCGTCTTAAATTAGCATTAGTAGTTATTTTTTTTTTACTTTCAAGGATAATCTCGGACAATCGACTGTTTTAGTATATCATCGCCCGCGTAGCATATACATTCGATAAATATATCCATCGAATAAATCTATCAATGTCCAAATATTCGTGTTACACGGGCGACCGATGACGAGTCATAGAAAAATAATTACGATCATGCGACGCCTGCTCTTGCTATGAAAGTACAAACTATAGTACGTCATGATAGAAAACTGGGTGTTCTCGGACAGACACAGTTTTGATCGTCGATTAGTCGTTTTCCTCGGATTCCGTTTTTCTCGCTCATAAAATCGCAATAAAACAATGTAATGCTAGGAAAATTGACGTCGTCATGACGTGGGTAAAAAGACGATACTCTATCGTTTTTTTTATATAATACATCTCTCTCACAATATAACTAAAGACTGGTGTTTTTTTTAGGGAACTTCCTCGAAGAAGCATCGTCGATATTTCGCAAGATCGATTCGATCTAATTCGACGATGCGACTGTGTCAAACCACAGGTACTAATCCATTCGCATAACATTCCTTGCGAACATACGCTTGTTGACATTCGCTATGCTCCGATTACGTTTACTGTATAGATAAGCGTTTGTGTTTTCTTTCTTTCGAAATGAAAAAATGATATCGGTCATGTTCTGATATCTCTTCTTTCTCTATCTGTCTATCTATCTGTCTGTCTGTCTGTCTGTCTGTCTGTCTATCTGTCTGTCTGTTTGTCTGTCTGTCTCTCTCTCTCTCTCTCTC